AACTTCCCCTTTCTTATCCCGCTTAAAGGAAAAATAAGGATGACTTGGAAAGGTGGGTCAGGATAAAGAAAAGAAAAGTAGAAGATTAATTTGGGGATGTTTCAACTAAATGGAGTTTTTTTGTTTTTTTTTTTTTTTTTTGTCCTTTTTGAGACCGGCTGCACCACACTCAGCTAGTGAGCACTGTGAGCGCACCGGTCATCCCTATAAAGGATCCGAACCCGAACCCGCAGTGGGAGCACTGCTGCACTCCCAGCGCCGCGCTCTCCTGAGTGCGCCACGGGCTTGGCCCCTAAATGGAGTTGTTTTTTTTTTTAAAGATGACCGGTAAGGGGATCTTAACCCTTGACTTGGTGTTGTCAGCACCACGCTCACCCAGTGAGCAAACCGGCCATCCCTATATGGGATCCGAACCCGTGGCCTTGGTGTTATCAGCACCGCACTCTCCCGAGTGAGCCACAGGCCGGCCCCTAAATGGAGTTTTTAACACAGTGTTTATGCTTATGGAGATGGAAAGAATACAGACATTAAGACTCTCAAGCAGCACTAAGCAATAGAATTATATTGCTAGCCAAATATGTACTTTTAAGTTTTCTACTAGCCACATTAAAAAAAATAAAAAGAAATACATGAAATTAATTTTAATAATACATTTGTTTAACCCAGTTTAGCCAACATACTGTCAGTTCAACATATGATCAATATGAAAAATGTATTAATGAGATATTCTACTTTTTTATATTAAGACTTCTAAATCTGGTGTGCATTTTATACTTAAAGCACATTTCAGACCAGCTACATTCAATGTATTCAACAGTCACATGTGGCTAGTGGCTATCCTATTGGTCAGCTCAGCTCTAAAGGGATGTTTTAGTCCTAATGAACCTATAACATGGGATGTCAGTAAAATCACTGAGGAAGCAGGTAATTTCCAAGTTAAAAGAACAAAACATAATGAAAGGAATAAAACAAGAGAAAATTGAAGAGGTAAAGAAGATATGTAAAGACAACAGGGGAAGACAGTGGGTATGCAGAAAGCACTCAGTTGCTAGACAGATGGGGAAAAGGACACAGAAAGAAATCTGGGGACTTGAGGTCAAAAGATGAGATAAAAGAGTTTTGAATTACCAAGCTGAACCAATGAGAAGGCTAAAGATCTAAAAGTCATTCACTAGCAAATTGGAGTCTGCCTCATTTACAAAAAGGCTGACTGGTTGGTTTCTGGAGAGAGAGTGTGGGGGACGCACAAACTTAGGTCACTGTTGATCAGGGTCACATACTTATTCACTAGCAAATTGGAGTCTGCCTCATTTACAAAAAGGCTGACTGGTTGGTTTCTGGAGAAAGAGTGTGGGGGATGCACAAACTTAGGTCACTGTTGATCAGGGTCACATACTTAGCTTTTCAGCACCAGAATCTTACTTTGTTATCTTAGCCAAAGCTGTTCAAGCTTTACAAGGCAGATGTCTTAGTTCATTTTGTGCTGTTATAACAGAATACCTAAGGCTGGGTAATTAATAATGAACAGAAATTTATTTGGCTCTTGGTTCTGGAGGCTGGGAAGCCCAAAAACAAGGGGTTGCCTCTGGTAAGGGCCTTCTTGCTGCATCATCCACGGCGAAGGTGGAAGGGCAAGAGAGTGAGAAAAAGTGAGAGAGAAGGGGGCCAAACTCATACTTTATAAGGATCCACCCCTGTGATAAATAACCCACTCCCACAATATTGGCATTTATTTAATTATGAGGGCAGAGCCCTTATGACCTAATCACTTCTTAAAGGTCCCACCTCTCAATATGGTTACATTGGGGATTAAGTTTCCAGCACATGAACGTTGGGGGACACACCTAGATCATAGCAGCAGACAAATGCTAAACACATGGAAGAGTTCAGTAGAAAATCTGAATGCTGACTTATTGATATACAGGAATACACCTTTCCAGGGCTGAAGTATCCCCTTATTCAGATCACCCCCTTGCTAGTTTTAAAGTTTGTCATAACACTGAATTACTAAGCAGAAATTTGTCTGGTGAGCATAAAATTAAAGCACAGGGAACTGGATAATCTCTAGGAAGTGTTCACTCATACTGCCCCACTGTAGAACTCACCTCCACTGTGACAGGAATGGCCCATTGGGCCCACTGAACTGGTTATCACTGTCCAATGCCTTTATTCTTTACTTCATACCAGAAGTTCTTAGTGGTACACATACAAATTTTTTTCTTTGTGTTGTTATGGGCTTGCACAGTCACTTCCAGAAGTCCACTGGAGAGTCCAGCTCTGTAGGAAATTCTGCCTACACTGGGTCCACATTCTCCAGTGACATCAATCTGTTGAGCTGAGGAGGACCTGTCCCTTTGAGTGTGATATGTTGTCATGGTCCCAGCTGACCAGCTTCCTTCAGCAAGATGGCTCACCTGTCTGGCTCCTATAGCTCTGCAAATCCCTACTGCTAACCAGACCTGGCTTCAAATTTTCCTGTTCTGAGGGGGAAAGAGAGAGAGATTAGTTTTCAGTTACACATTGATTAGATTACCACATTTTTATTGTTAACTAGTCAAAAATCCAGTCTTTGCATCTATTAGTTACAGATCATAAGTAATCTATTAGGATGGGTTATATCTGGTGAAAGTTAACTTTATAATCTGATAATTATTAATTATGAAATATTCAGTTCTCAGAGGAATAGGTATTTCTTTTCCCATTTCTACGGACATCCTCATACTTTCTTATGTACCTGCTACAGTCACGCAGGGCAAGAAAGCACAGAAAATATACTGGATGGTAGAATCTGGATAGTGCACAAAATATCTTGACAGATGCAAATGATGAACTAAATGTAACAGGATCAAATTTTATAAAAGAATAAACTATTTTTCCCCCAATCTACTGGATGTATCAAAGACGGTTTGGTATCTACTGTTTGTTAAATCTAAAGTTTAAATTCTAAGCAATGAAAAAAAGTGCTGCCAACTCTTTGCTCCCAGTAGCATTTGAGGAATAGTAGGGCACAAATCGATTATATACTAGTATGTTTTATTAGTATTGTGAAACCATTGCCCAACATTCTCACAATATCCTTTCCCAGGGCTGTTAACAAATAGTAAGATTTGCCAGTTTGATTTTCATCTTCCTTCAGTTCTGCCCACCCTCTGGCAGAGCTGCTGTCAGTCGGCCTGAATGGATGGCAAGACGATGAAAGAAAAGAGAAGCAGGATTTCTATTAAGTCTTCGAAAGGAAAACCAGGACTTGTCTAACCTAGAATTGACCACAATGATGTAAGTGGCTCAAGTGTCTCTTTCTGCCTCCCCTGGGATGCTTGAACTTGGTCCTCAGCTCTCCTCCCGCTCTGCTCTCTGCCTTGCCCAGCCAGTCTCTACTCTTCTGTTCCAGTCCAGCTGCTCAGAGCCTCTCCAGCCTCTGTTATTACTGCTCAAAGAGGACTCCCTCTGTCTCTTCACACTTGAGAGGCCCCAACTTGAACTTAATGTCTATTTTGCTTCTCACAGCACCCCCAGCTGGCCCCCGTTTCCTATTAGCAGGACTGGACCAGGAGGCTGAGGTATTAAGGGTATTAGGAGAAAAGGGAGAGCACATCACGGCTACAGTTGTGGTATGTGGAATGTGGAGCCACAAAGTGAATATAAAAATTTTGTCTGAAAGGATGTTGCAAATCAAGATGGAAAGTGTGTCAAACCAGCAAGGGAGCCTGGAGGAGTTGGGGAGCTATCAGCCCAGGTGAATGGGAAATAGTTGTGATAAATGTAGAAGAAAAGGGCATTTGGGTACTCTTAGTGCGTGTCTTAGGCAGTTCAGGCTGCTACAACAAAGTACCATTGACTGGGTAGCTTAAACAACAGGAATATATTTCTCACACTGCTGAAGGCTGGGAAGTCCAAGATCAGGGTGCCAGTGGATTCAGTTCCTGGTGTAGGTCCTCTTCCTGGTTTGCAAATGGACTGTCACATGGCAGGGAGAGAGATCATCTCTCTGGTGTCTCTTCCAAAAAGGGTACTAATCCCGTTCATGAGGGCTCTACCCTCATGAATTGATAACTTCCCAAAGACTCCACCTCCAAATGCCATCGCACTGGGGATTAGAGTTTCAACATATGAATTTTGAGGAAACACAAACATTCAGTCCATACTAGTGCATATTCATGCCACAGTAAGTAGAGGACAGACATCTCCTAACTCTTCAATATTGAATCATGTTTTATCTCTATCCACCTGTAAGGCCTATTGATTCTTTCTTGCCCATTTCTCTGTTTGATACCTAATGCACAAGGTTATAAGATTAATTTTTCAAAAATCCTCATTTTAATATACCCCTCCTTGATAAAAACTCTTTGATGAATCCTTGCTACTTTAAATATAAAGTTTAGGGCCAGCCCCATGGCTCACTCAGGAGAGTGCAGCACTGGTAGCACTGAGGCTGCGGGTTTGGATCCTATATAGGGATGGCCGGTGTGCTCACTGGTTTAGTGTGGTTCGGACCGCACCATGCCAAGGGTTGTGATCCCCTTACCGGTAAAAAAAAAAAAAAAAAAAAAAAAAAAAAAAAAAAAAAAAACCC